GTTGACGTGACAAAAGCGAGGTTTGCTTTTCCACTTTGCTTAGCAGGGGGAGTAGACTTGCCCTCAGTTTGCGGAGCGGCGGCCTTCATTGCTCAGGAGCCGGGCAGCAGGCCAGGCCTTTGCAAGATTTGCATCATTCGCTGTGTCCATCGATCTCAGAACACGGCAGAACATCTTTTTGTGTTTTTCTCCCCAGGTTAAAAACAACTTCCCTTGGAGGTTCCCCTGGATTGCAGCTTCTCTCCCTTTGAAAATCTGATTTTGCCCTTGACCTTTGCATTGTTTTTCAGAGCAGCGATTGCCCAATTTTCCAGCTGGTGGTGAGTAAGCAGCTCGTAACACGGAGGCAGAACTGGAAACAGCAGGTGACGGAAGGCCCCACGCAGTTTCATCATCCTCTGCTCTGTGAGTGCACCCTGTGGCTGAGGATGGTGGTGACAGCTCACGTTTATGCAGGGCTGACTGTGCCAGCCTCTGCATTATCCCCATTTTATAGACACGGAAACTGAGGCGCAGGGAGGTTACGTATATGCAGGATGTGGAATCCAAGGTGCCAGCACAGGCGGTCTTGCTGGGGAGCCCCCACGCCTGCCCTTTAGGGGTTGATGGAACTCCTGGAGCTGAGTTCTTGGAGCTGCAACCCGAGGTGGTGTGCTGTGAAGTGTCATGAAATTAGCAGCAAAGACGCCGTGTGCAGCCCCATTCAGGTCGTGTCTTCTCCTGGGGCCACACAGAGGGACTGCCCAGATTACATGCAGCTCCTCTGCTTTTCTGTGATGGCAACAGTGGTCTCCTTTCCTCTACAGGCAGAAACTTTACAATGCGCGGTGAAGAAACAGAGTGCCAGGCATCTTCTCTGTCACTGGAGCTCCACGAGTGTAATGCTTTGTTTTGCCTAGTTGGTAAGATACAGATTCTGTAGCTGGCACTGAAAACTTCCCATATGTACCCCCAAAGCTACTTTTCACCCCTGTCCCCCCAAATATACTCCCAATTGCCCTTGCACACACAGATAATATTGGCTCTTCCTTACATCAGGTGTCTATGTGGTTCAGCATGAAGGGTACCAGCTTCGGTTTGGGCAAAGGGGGGCTTCACCCCCAGCTGGTGTGATAAGCCCTACCTCTTGAGCTCTTGGGGAGGACCCCTGGCAAGTCTGGCGAGCACAGCCAGGCGCTGGGTACCTACAGTTCGCGTATAGGAGACCACGGCTCCCCATCCCCCCGCCACGTCCTGCTCCCATGCCAGGAGTACCTGGCTCTTGGACTCTAGAGTCCTTAGGAGGATGGGCTGGGGCACCATTAGTGCCCTGGGCATGGATGGGGCAGGGGCCTCTGTGAGCCTGTCCCCTGCCCACCCAGCCTGGCAGGAGACACACAGGTGAATGCAGGTTTATGTAGCTCTTCAGCTACAGTGCCCCTAACCCGTTGTCACAGTCTTCGGGAACGCAGAGGGGGCACCTCATTCTACCTGGGAGCTGCTGGGAAGGCTTCTCAGGGGAGAGGAACTTCAGGTGGATACTGAGGGATGGAAAAGAGGCAGAACATCTTCACCAACACCGTGAAGATGTGGATGACAGAGAGATGTGGATGATAGGCGGACGTGGTCGGTAGGGGGACGCGGACGGTAGGGGGATGCGGATGGTAGGGGGACGTGGACGGTAGGGAGACGTGGACGATAGGGGGACGTGGACAGTAGGGGCATGTGACAGTAGGGAGATGTGGACGGTAGGGGAACATGGGCGGTAGGGGGACGCGGACGGGAGGGGGATGCGGACGGGAGGGGGACGTGGACGGTAGGGAGACATGGATGATAGGGGGACCTGGATGGTAGGGGGATGTGGACAGTAGGGAGACATGGATGATAGGGGGACCTGGATGGTAGGGGGATGTGGACAGTAGGGAGACATGGATGATAGGGGGACCTGGATGGTAGGGGGATGTGGACAGTAGGGAGACATGGATGATAGGGGGACCTGGATGGTAGGGGGATGTGGACAGTAGGGAGACATGGATGATAGGGGGACCTGGATGGTAGGGGGATGTGGACAGTAGGGAGACATGGATGATAGGGGGACCTGGATGGTAGGGGGATGTGGACAGTAGGGAGACATGGATGATAGGGGGACCTGGATGGTAGGGGGATGTGGACAGTAGGGAGACATGGATGATAGGGGGACCTGGATGGTAGGGGGATGTGGACAGTAGGGAGACATGGATGATAGGGGGACCTGGATGGTAGGGGGATGTGGACAGTAGGGAGACATGGATGATAGGGGGACCTGGATGGTAGGGGGATGTGGACAGTAGGGAGACATGGATGATAGGGGGACCTGGATGGTAGGGGGATGTGGACAGTAGGGAGACATGGATGATAGGGGGACACGGATGGTAGGGGGACGCGGACGGTAGGGGGACGTGACAGTAGGGAGACGCGGACGGTAGGGGGACGTGGACGGTAGGGAGATGTGGACTATAGGGGGATGTGGACGGTAGGGTGAGGAAAATTCACTCATGGAGAACAGCAAGAAGAAAGTCATGGAGGTATGACGGTGGTTTATTTTCTTCTTGAGTTGGGGTGAAGGGACATTAAGCCTGGAAAATGAGCCGGAGTCTGCAGGGCTGGGATTAGTGGAGGCTCCGAGTCTATGACACGTAGGGAGGGGCTCCCTCCCGGCCCCATCCTGCAGCTCAGTGCCCCCAGCAGGAGCGCCCCCTCATGCTAATAGGGGCCAGACCTTGGGGTCAGACCACGGGGGGCATGGAAGGCCAGGCCAGGCTGTGGATGCCAGCCAGTGGGAGGTGGGGCCTGGGATTCAGGATGCACCCAGAAATGAGCACAGGAGAAGCCACCTCTTGACCTTCCAGGGGAGGGCAGCTCACCCTCACAGGAGAGAGGGGACAGACGGCCCACACAGGCCTCGAGGAAGAGCCCTGTCCATTTGTGTTGACGGGGTTGGAAGCAGGGAGAGCTCTCTCTGGGTTGGTGGCCATTTGGTTTGCTGCTGCTATGAGGCAAGCCTAGGAAACATTTGGGAAATCGATTCACCAGGAAAGGAATTTCCACTACATGCAGGATGGAGACCTCGGAGAGGGAGGGAAAGACCTCACCGGGCGAGTGCACAACTGGGTGAACTGTACAGGGCTGGCAAATCGCCAGGCACACAGTAAGTGGGCCCCAGATATTTACCAGATGATTCTCTCTTTCATGTGTGTCATGAAGAAAACGTTTCAAGTGGGCATGCTGACTCTAAATTGTGGAAGTCCAGAGAGAAAATTCAGAGCACAAATTCTTTTGGGGAAATGAAATCCTTTAGAAACTCACCTCAGAAATAAAGTGAAAAAAGTCAAAACCATTGGTCTGCTCCTGAACCAGACACTGACCTTTTGCTTTGTAAAAATAATGACCAACATGACCGTGAACATCCAACTGCAACTGTTTTCACCAACCTTATTTTGATTGTTCCTGAGGACATGCTGGGGGGCAGGGGTGACAAGTTATTGATATAATAGTGGCAGAACACAAGGCAAGTAACTTTCCCAAGGCCACAGAGACAGTGAAGTAACTAGAAATAAAAGCTAGTAAATTAATTTCAATTTGTTTCTTTTTGAGATAGATAATATAACTGATGATGTAAGTACCTGATAATACCAAAAAAACAAAGAAAATATCGTATTTACTAGATAATGTGGATCCAGAAGGATAAAAGGGAGTGTGGAGGGAAACCCAGTGTCTTCCCAGTCACCTAATTTCACACCTCCCCTCCAAGGCAGGCAGTGGTAGCAGTTTCTTCATATTCTTTTCAGAATATTCAATACATTTAGAATCACAGTGACATATACATTCATATTACTTTTTTGTACACAAACAATGACATATTCTGTGCCTTGTTAGTTTTACTTCACTTGGAAATTTTACTTAACTTGCAAAATATTACAAACCTTGGAGATTTTTCTCCATCAGTAAATATAAAGCTGCCTTGTTCTTGTCAATAGCTGCCTGGTTTCCAGGGACCGGGTGCCAGTGAGGGCACCTGCAGTACCTGGACAAGGGCAGGGCCATGTCTCACTGTCTTTGAAGGTACAGTGACATTTTTCTTTCCACTCAAGAGGATATTCAGAAACAGGAATTCTAACTAGAGAGAAAGCCTTGGTCATCAACTCCTGACAAAAATCTGGTCTGAGGCTGAAAGTCAGAGGAAGCTGGGGTCTGGGCTTGGTTCTGCACCCTCGCCCTGTCTCTGAATGGCTCTGAGTCCCTCTCTCTCTGCAAGCTCAGTTAACAAGGTGGGTCTCTGGGGGCTGTGGAGACATTAGCGAGCGTGGCATCAGCCCTGGGAGGAACTGCCCCTTTCCTTTCTTCTTTCCTCCTGGGAAAGGCTCTCAAGACAGCAGTTAAGGGGCCCGTTGGTCTTCTTTCTGCAGAGGGAGAAACAGTTCTGGGCTTTGCCACTGAGAAGCCGCCAGGGCTTTCAAACACCTGGCTTCTATCTAAGCCCATCCTTCCTTCCTCTGCCTGGGCCTTGATTTCCCCACTTGAAAACTGGCCAATGCGCTGGCCTTGCCCAGCTCATCTCTCTTGCTTTCCCTGGGTCTTCCGGGGACCGCCGGCAGACTCAGCCTGAATATGCCCCTTGAACGAAACAAGCAAGCGCCACCCTCCACTTGGCTGTGCGCTCCTGGCTGGAATTGCACTTTGGCTCCAGGTCTGAACCCTAACCACAGGACAAACACAGTCTGAAACCTGGACCGTTTGCCCTCCTTCTACCCACGGTTTGCGCAGGGCAGTGCGCCTACAACCAAAACAAACTTATTTTGAACACCGGCCGCGAGCACGCGGCGCCGCCAATCATTAACCGCTGGTTCAGGTGGCCCGGCCGGCGCCCTTCATAAGGCGCACCCGGCGCCCAGCGAGCATCAGCCACCGCTCAGCCAGCATCGGCCAGCGCGCCGTCGCCACCGCCTAGTGAGCACCGGCTCCTGACCGTCACCGCTGCCTGGCGATGCCCCAAGTCCCCGCTGTCCGCGCCTGGCCGCTTCTGCTCTCGCTGGCCGTTCAGCTCGGCTCAGCCGCTGGCGCTCCCCAGCCCTGGCGCTGCGCGCCCTGCTCCGCCGAGAGGCTGGCGCTCTGCCCTCCCGTGCCCGCCTCGTGCCCGGAGCTCACCCGGCCCGCCGGCTGCGGCTGTTGCCCCACGTGCGCCCTGCCACTGGACGCCGCATGCGGCGTGGCCACTGCGCGCTGCGCCCATGGGCTCAGCTGCCGCGCCCTGCCCGGGGAGCCTCGGCCCCTGTACGCCCTCACCCGCGGCCAGGGCGCCTGCATGCCCGCGCCCAGCGCCGAGGCCACAGGTACCAATCGTCTCCCTGCCCGGATCCCTCCCCTGGGACAGATGGGGTGGGGGACTGGGACGGGCAGGGGGCTGGGGCTCCACCAAAGTCCTCAGCCAGTGGGGAGCAAACCCGGCCAGGCTCAGAACTTGCAGCCAAAACCTGTAAGGGGAAAGGATTTGTCACCCAGATGAACTCCATCGTTGTGTGGTCCTGCAGGGGGCGCTTAGGATAAGGCAGGACACACACAACTTGGTGGGAGAGCTGGGGGAGGGAGCCCAGACCACCTGGGCAGCCCACTGATCTATAGAAACCCAGAAGAGGGAGGTGATGGGGTGCCTGGGCAGCAGGGTGCCACTCCAGGCGCCCCTGGCTCCCCTCCCTGCCAGGGCATTAGTTTCCGGGAAGACCTTCAGTGGGAGCCTGTACTGCTGGCCTCCTGGGAGGTGTTTGGAATGTCCTTTGAAATGTATGTCCTGTGCAGACAGTATGTGCTTCCCAGATGTTTACAGAACATAATGTGAAAGTTCAGGCTAAAAACTTCACTTGCGTTCATTGCCGTAGAAAAACAGTGGTTGATGTGTGTGCTGCCTCCTCAGAACTTGACAATCAGAACTTTCCTGAACTTAGCAGTGATTTATTTGTAGTGGGAAGCAGAGGAAATACACCCACCTCTACCCCCTCTCACTACCTCCCTGTCGGGGCAGCTGTATGTCCAGTGATTCCGTGATTCTTGGCGCGATCTTGTGGCTCTATGCCCTGATAGGGATCTGCTGGAGCGCGTCACCCTTCCAAGGTGGGGACGGTTTTCCTCCTGGTTCTCTGCCTTCAGAGTCATCTCTGTAGTCCTCAAAGGAGAGGGTGTCCCCCCGGGTTCCCTCAGGAGAGCCAGTTCTCTATCATTCTGTCCATGCACCAGATCCAAACCCTAGGACTCTGCAAGAAATCTGGTGACCCTCCCTCTTCCCAGGGTTGCAAAGAAGTCACTCTGTGGGAAGGCAGAGCCCCTGGAAAAGAAGAGGGTAGAGCTGCAATCTAGACCCCACCTCTAAACAAACCCTACCACCTGTTCACAGGGAATTACTAAAATGCCCATTTTATGGATGGGAAAGCTGAGGATGGGGTCAGGTATTGAATTGTAATCCATGGCTTTCTCAGGGCTCTTCCCGGGCTTTGACAAATGTGCATTTGGCTACTTTAGAAGCAGAAACACAGGGCACTCTTGCCATTGGTATTGCTGTTGGGTCATCCCTCTACCTGGAAGCCATCAGAAGTTACTTTAAAGAGGGAGTAGGAAAAACTCTGGGTCAGCATGATCACCCTGTCCCAGTCTGGTTTTGTGGGAAGGGAAGCAGCTTCAGGGGAGGGGGGCATAGGTGCAGATGATTCTTCGGTGGGAGGCTCATGGGTTTTCGTTTTTCTATTTTTAGAGGGAAAGGACCCTGCCACCCTAGAGAACATGTCCCCTGAGAGCTCAGAGATGACCCAGGAGCAGCTTCTGGACAATTTCCACCTGATGGCTGAGTCCAGTGAGGACCTGCCCATCCTCTGGAACGCCATCAATAATTATGAGAGCATGAGGGCTCTGGAGATCACCGACATCAAAAAGCAGAAGGTGAGAGCCTCAGGGTAGGTGGAGCCTCTAGCTTGAATCTGCTGGGCCCTGCAGGTCCGGTCCTGAGCCCTGGATATAAACAAGTTCCTTCCCAAAGCCTAACAGACATTTCTCAGCTTAGCTTTGGGAGCTTTTAACCCAAGGGCTTTCAGCAGAGGAGCCCTCTGGATGGAAAGAAAATGCAGTTCGTGCTGTGCAACCTTAGATACATTACTTCACATCTCTGAGCTCATCTCTAAAATAAGGGTATCAGACTGGCAGTGTCTAAAGAGCACTGAGCTATTCTTAACATCCTCCTCCCCATCCCACCTTCCCCCAACTTTTTAAGAAATTGTGGTAAAATATTCACAACATAAAATTTAGCATTTTAATCATTTTAAAGTATAAAGTTTAGTTACATTAAGTAGTCACATTATTCTGCCACTATCTGTCATGACCGTCCATCTTGAGCACTTTTCCATCTTCCCACACTGAAGCTCTATCCCCGTTAAGCGCTAACTCCCTTGTAGCATCTTAATTGATGTATGTTTTTAGTCCTACCACTTGAGGGCGACAAAGAATCAAAGTTGGAGTGACTTGGGTTCATTTGAGAAAAAAAGAAAGAAAATCACTTCTAAAAACATGCAGACCCAGAAAAGTGGAGATTGAACCATTTTCCAGACACTTCAGAGTTTAAGCTTGAACTGATGACAAATAGAGAAAAGTTCATGCTTATCTCAGATTGTCCAGTTGAACGCCTTAATCCTCAACGAATTTGGTTCATGTGAACTAACCTTGTAGATTACAGAGGAACGTTGTTCAAAATTTAGAAATCTCTGCTACTAAGTTCTCCGTTCACAGAGTTGTGCCCACTCTCCTTTCAACCAGATGACTGATGCCAGAATTACTCACGGCGGGCAGGAGAGTCGGAGAGCTCATGGCATTGGTGATGCTCTTGTCTCCTGCAAGTGTTTAGTGAATGTTCAGTGAGGGAAGGCATGGCGTTCCCATCCTTTATCTTAACAACTCAGAACAGAGACTAACCACCCTCCTTCTATAGGTGAGAGAGTGAGGCCCAGGGAAAGTGGGTCCAGGCCTGTCCTCAGAGCCCACACAAAACCTCTTACATCCACTCCCCTTTTAGGCTAATAATACACTGTTTCTTGTCATTTATCCCAACGTCAAATTTTTCTTTCAGGAGCCCTGCCAGCGAGAACTCTACAAAGTGCTGGACAGATTAGCCAGGGAGCAGCAGAAGGCAGGAGAAAAACTTTACAAATTTTATCTGCCAAACTGCAACAAGAATGGATTCTATCACAGCAAACAGGTATGTGCATCCTCATGCGACAGCCCCTGATGCCCACACCCCAGCCAAGCGCCAGCCTTTCGACAAACAGGGTGTCCAGCTCCAAGTAATAAGCAACGTAAAACCACGTAACAGATCATGTTACGCAAGACCCATTCCTCTGGGAGTAGGAGGCACTAGCCCCCTCGTAGCCTGAAGACCAGCTCCATGCTCAAAGCCCGTGTGCACTCGGGGACCCTGAGCTGAGTGTCGCTCCACCAGCTAGCAAATCTCAGCAGGTGGGGACCTTCACAGGCCCCTCACGTTCTGGATCTCAGTGTCTCACCTGTAATAGAGAGGAACAGGACAGTCCTACTTAGGAAAGTGAGTATCTGTTTGGACATCTCTTACTTTTTTTCTCCCTACAAAGGGAAATAACTTTATAATTAAATATAATAGCATTTTTTTGGCTTGCCAGATAATAAGTGAGATTAAACAAACCAAGACCTAATTTTGAGGAGCCCTTTAGGACTCAGTGAAGCCTAGGTTCTGTGGATATTTCTGGGGGAAACTGGGGACCAGGAAGTGCTTTATAACAAACAAGGAATTTGGCAGGGGATACGACAGCAAGGTTGGCCACACATGGGCAGGCTCCCTCTGGGCTCAGCAGCTCTGCCGTGGGGGCCGTGAAGCAGACAGTTGTGCGCACGCTGTACCGTTCAACACAAGCGTGACATCCTTATTGCATTGGGCACTTGCCCTTAGTCTCTATTTTACGAAGGGAACCAGGACGGTGTAGGATTTGCCCTCAGTCATGGTCACGGCCCGTTGGGGATGCCCATGGCCTGGCTCTCAGCTGCCACGCCCTCCACACGGCACTGGGCAGCACGGAGCTCCACCACCCTCTCAGCTTCACAGGGGCTGCTTCTGACCTTGCTTCTTTTCTTTGCAGTGCGAGACATCCCTGGAAGGAGAGCCTGGGCTCTGCTGGTGTGTCTACCCTTGGAGCGGAAAGAAGGTCCTGGGGTCCGTGGCAACCAGAGGGAACCCCAAATGCCATCAGTATTTTAACTTACGGAACTGAAAACAGATGCAATGTGATCTATTCCTTCACATGAAATATTTAAGTACATATGATATTTATACTCTGGAATACACATACACTTATATATATATATATATAGATGTATATGTATATACAAAGGAATTACTTTTTATACTCCACATATGACTTGATATATAAAGCTGTATTTATTCACCATACGTTTATTTTTTTCTACACAGTAACTTGTGTTATATTAATTTATATATCATGAAACACTTCCCATCATGTTGTATGTAAATACTTGTATTTTAGCTCTTCAGAGGTTCAATGCTTCTGTCTTAAAGAGCATAGGAAAATACTGCCTAGAAAATGCAAAATCAAATGTGTAGCAGTGATTTTCTTTAAGTGGTTTGATGGAGGATGGTTAAGCTGTGCTTAAGAATGATTTACTCTGTTTATTCCATGGATCCGTGTTTAGCGTAAATTTGCAGGGAAACTTAAATGTTGATTATGTAGTCAAAGTTACATGTGATGATGTTGCTACGTGTTAAAATATGTATTGCAGATATTGTCAAACACATGAACGTAGTGTAAACACACTGGAATAAATATCCCACACTGGAACATTGCTATTGTCACGGACATTTGTTGAACATAACGTCTTCTTCCTTCCTGAATTCCCTCCATCCGTCACCTCCCCTTCCGCATGCAGCGCTGGTGAGTCCAGTCTGCAGGCTCCTGGTCCCCACTGCTGGAAGGTCTGCCCTGCCCACTGAGGGCTCCCACGCCCGGGGCACCCCTCTCTCCCTCTGCGGGCCCTAACCTCTCCGCTAGCTCCTTCCCTTCCTCTTGTAAATAGGCCAGGGTTTCTCCTATCTTAAATGCAAGACAGAATCACTTCCTTAACTTCTCCCTCACCCGTCTCCTCTCTGACTCTGCCCAGCCTATGGCCCCTGCAGGGCTTCAGTGGCGCCCTCCAGGGCAGCACCCTGCTTGCCCCTCTGTTTGCACGACTAAGACCTGAGCCCAAGACATGGGTCCTCTGCAACGTGGGTTCTTTTCTTTTCCCCCATTCCTCCCTGCCCTGCTGACTGCTCCTTCCTTTTCTCCCCCTGGATGGGCATCTCATCCATCCCAGCGGATCCCAACCGGCCCCTCCTTGCTCTGGGCTCCAGCTCCCTATCTTGGGTCTCCCCCTTCACCCCCTGACCCCCACAGCTGCCATCCTTCCTGTGCCGAGCCCACAGGACTCACTGCGAACTCAGCCCTCACATGCATCATTCAAAATATATCAGCCCGATGTGGGTCAGCCACGGCCCCATCCCACCCTGCTAAATATAACCGCGTGGTCATCGTCGTGGTCACCGTTATCCTGTGATGGCAACGGGAGCTTTTCTCAGCGCTTCAGTCCCCACGAGGGCCCTGTAGGACCCAGCCTGAGGGTCTGGACTGCACCTACCCCTCAGGTGTGGGCTCAGGAGCGGAGCTGGGGAAGGTGGACTTCCCTCCCCACGATGCGCAGGAGGTGAATTCTGGGCAAAATCAAAGCAACACAACTCTAAACTTGAAGGCACTGGCACAGCAGCGCCTACAGGGGGTTCTCAGTCTCAGCTGAAGCTGGGGGTATTCATTCACCTTGACCATGGTACGTTTGGGTGGTTAGCCAAAGTATCAGTTAAACTACATAAGTATCCATATGGTCTTAGACGGGGCGGGGGGTGCAGCTCTGTCTAGTCCCGGGGCTCCTGCACATGCTCTCACGCAGCAGTTGTGACCGGCAACAGTGTCTCATATTTCCAGTTCCGGCTCCTTTCAAACGAATCAGGAGTTGATGGGCATTTGGGAGGCAATCTGAGTTAAGAGTCCTTCAGGATTCTAGTGCCCCCATCTTTTATTGTTGTTGCGTCCACCTGATTCTCCAGCAACTTCTCAGTAGCTCCTTTGGGTCAATCCTATTCATAGACAGGACAGCTCTCTCTGCTCACACGTAAAAGCCACGCACCCACATGTTGAGTATGTAGTCACGACAGCAAGTCCCATGGGTTCACACAGGTCTGGGGGTAAATGGGCTCTGGGGACAGCTCCTGGGGGGGACAGAAGGATCTCTGCTCCAGCCATGTTTGGAATCTATTCCACATGTGATCCAGGCCATGAGCGTTATTAATAGGATGGTTTCTGTGGCCGGGTCAGGCCCAGAGCATTGCTGCACTTAGTCCTGACAGCAAGCAGAGGTAGAAGGTCCAAAGGGAACCCCTCCCATGAAAATCGTCCTGCTTGTCATGCTTTTGCCTCTGTGGGTCTAAATTGGGACAGCACTTCCCTACTTCCAAGCTTGGGAAACTCTCAAATCTGAGGCAGGTAGAGCAGTGCTTAGAAGGAAATTTACAGCTATTAAATGCCCCTATTATTTATTAATAGGGGCATTAAAAAGTTCAAAAAAACTTTATGACACTGGAAAAGGAAGGCCAAACCAAACCTAAGTCAAGCAGAAAGAAGGAAATAATAAAAATTAGAGTGGAAATAAATGAAATAGAGAACAGAAAGTCAACAGAGAAAAATCAAGGAAACCAAAAGCTTGTTCTTTGAAAAGATCAACATAATTGACAAACCTTTAGCTATACTGACCAAGAAAAGAGAAAAGACTCAAATAACTAAAATCAGAAATGAAAGAGGGGACATTACCACCGATTTTACAGAAATCAAAAGGATTATAAAGGAATATTATGGACAATTGTACACTAACAAATTGGATTACTGAGACGAAATGGAAACATTTCGAGAAACATATGAACTATCAAAACTGACACAAGAGGAATTAGACAATCTGATCAGACCTATAACAAGTGAAATGATTGAATTAGTAAAGAAAAAACTACCCACTAATAAAAGCCGAGATGGCTTCACTGATGAATTCTACGAACATTTAAAGAATACTAATTCTTTAAAACTCTCCTAAAATTTAGAAGATGAGAAAACACTTCTTAATTCATTTTATGAGCCTACATTCATAAAAGTTTTACCCTGATTCCACACCAGACAAAGACATCACAAGAAAAGACAACTACAGAGCAAAATCTCCTATGAATATGGACATAAAAATCCTCAACAAAATACTAGCAAACTAAGTCCAGCAACATATTAAAATAATCATTCACCATGACCAAGTGGGACTTATCTCAGGAATGCAAGGTTGTTTTAACACCTTAAAATCAATTAATGCAATAAACCATACTAATAAAATAAAAAAACCCCAAAATCACATGATCATCTCAAGAGACTCAGAAAAAGCATTTGATAATATCCAACACCCTTTCATGATAAAAACACTCAACAGACTAGGAATAGAAGGAAACCTCCTCAAGCTGACAGAAGGTATCTAGGAAAACACCACAGCTAATGTCATAGTTAATGGTGAAAGTCTATATGCTTTCCCCCTAAGATCAGAAACAAGACAAGGATGTCTGCTCTCATGACTTTTCTTGAACACTGTAGCCAGGGAAATTAGGCAAGAAAAAGAAATAAAAGGCATTCAGATTGTTTGAAGATGCCACGATCTTATACGTAAAAAATTCTAATAATCCACTAAAAGACTGTTAGAACTAATAAATGATACAACAACATTGCAGTATACAAGCTCAATATATAAAAATTAATTGTATTTCTATATGCTTGCAATAAACAATCAAAAAATGAAATTAAGAAAACGTCACTCACAATAGTGTCAAGAACAAAATACTTAGTAGTATATTTAACAAAAGAAATACAAAATTTATATTCTGAAAACTACAAAATCTTTTTGCAAGAAATTAAAGAAGATCTAAATAACTGGAAAACACACCATGTTCCTGTATCAGAAGACTTGACATTGTCAACATGGCCATACACCCTAAACTGACCTACAGGTTAAGCACAACCCTTTTCAGAATCTCAGTGACTTCTTTGTAGAAACTGACAAGCTGATTTTAAAATTCACATGGCATTGCAAGGGTCACAGAATAGCCAGTGTTTTTATTGGAGTGGTACAATACCTTTCCTCTTCTCTTCAAACCTACTTGTTATAGTTTTGTTTCCAAAGGAAGCTAATCTACTTTTTTGTTTACTTTTTGTTACAACTGTGAATTCATAATGTCCCAGGATACTGGCCACTCTCTCAGATGATGTGTGACGGTCTGTGTCTACATCTGAAGTTCAAGAACACAGGTGCAGGTGAAGGATGGGCCAAATGGACAGCGTCCAGCACCGGAAGTCTGCGTCTGGTCATTCTTACCCTCCCCTGGGCTGGGAGGAGCTCTGGGGGAGGACATTCCTGGTGGACACTTCCCAGTGTAGAGAGGGAGACCTGGAAGGGATAATCTGAACTTTGTACGTTATCACTGGCGTCGGTCAGTGTCTGCCCTGCCTGGATTTCACTCCTCAGGACACCTGGACCAGGTGTCTGTGTAGGTGTAGGGCAGGTACTGAGGGCACTGGTGGGGACAGGGCCACAGCAGCCTGTCCCTTTGGTTTATGCTGCAGCACTGCCGGCTGCCTCCTTCCTCACCCCCTTAAAATCATCTTTGGCTGCCATCTGTCTTCCCAGGGGCTTCGCTGTTTCCAACGACCTTGAGATTCTCCTTCAGGAATCCACAGCCACCTTACTGGAGGTGCCTGCGGTGTTTCCGGGGCTCGTCTGACGTGTCTCTCAACCTGAACTTGTACAGAGGTCCCGAGTCCCCCCAAACTGTCTTCTCCTGTTTGCTTCTTCAGTGGAAATGCTGCGTTAGTTGCTCAGACTGGCTGTCATTCCTGACATTCTACGTCTACCTTCTCACCCTCACATCCAGTCCATGCCTTATCTGCAAAATATGCGCTGACTGGGCCGCACCTCAGTCCCCCAGGGCAGCGCTGGTCTGATCCGCAGTCTCCAGGTTGAGGCCTCCCAGGCCTTGGCTTCTGTGGAGCTGCTGGACCAGCCTGTCACAGCTCAACAAGGTCACCCCCCTCTGCAGCCTCCCAGCCCCCCATTCACTCAGCACAAATGCCAAAGCTCTGGGGTCCCGACCTGCCCGCTCTCTGGCTGCAGCTCCATCTCTCC